GGCCTTCTCTTCTCCAGGCTGAACAACAACTCTCTCAGCCTGTCTTCATAGGAGAGGTTCTCCAGCCCTCAGACCATCCTCGTGGCCTCCTATGGATTCATTCTAACAGGTCTATATCCTCATTATGTTGGGGGCTCCAGAACTGGACACAGTACTCCAGGTGGGGTCTCACAAGAGGGGAGTACAGGGGGAGAATCACCTCCCTCGACCTGCTGGCCATGCTTCTCTTGATGCAGCCCAAGATATGGTTGGCCTTCTGGGCTGAGAGCGTGCATTGCTGGCTCAAGTTGAGCTTCTTGTCCACCAGTACCCCCAAGTCCTTCTCCTCCAGGCTGCTCTTGATCCATTCTCTGCCCAACCTGTATTTGTGCTTGGGGTTGCCCTGACTCAGGTGCAGGATCTTGCACTTGGCCTTCTTGAACTTCATGAAGTGTGCACACGCCCTCCTCTCTAACCTGTCAAGATCCCTTTGGATGGCATTCCTATCTTGCAGCGTGTTGACCTAACCATACAGCTTGGTGTTGTCGGCAAACTTGCTGAGGGTGCACTGTCCATGTCACCAACACAGATGATAAATAGCGCTGTCCCCAATAACGACCTGTGAGGAGCGCCACTCATCACTGGTCTCCACTTGGACGTTGAGCCTTTGACCGCAACTCTTTGAGTGCAGCCATCTGGCCAATTCCTTACCCACAGAGTGGTACATCCTTGTCTCTTCAATTTAGAGACAGGGATGTTGTGTGGGACAGTGTCAAATGCTTTATACAAGTCCAGGTAGATGATGTTGGTTGCTTTTCTGTTATCCACCAATGCTGCAATCCCGTCATAGGAGGCCACCAAATTTGTCAGGCGTGATTTGCCCTTAGTGAAGCCGTGCTAGCTGTTGCCAGTCACCTCCTTATTTTCCACGTGCCTTAGCATAGTTTCCAGGAGTATCTGCTCCATGATTTTGCTGGGCATAGAGGAGAGACTGACTGGCCTGTAGTTCCCCAGGTCTTCCTTTTTTCGCTTTTTAAAAATGGAGGTTATGTTTCCCCTTTTGCAGACAGGAGGAACTTCACCGGACTGCCAGGACTTCTCAAATATGATGGGTAGCAGACTGTCGACTTCATCTGCCAGTTCTCTCAGGACCCACAGATGTACCTCATCAGGTCCCACGGACTTGTGTGCCTTCAGGTTCTTTAGATGGTCTTGAACCTGGTCTTCTACAGTGAGCGGTTCTTCATTCTCCTAGTCCTGCCTTTGCTTTCTGCAACTTGGGCAGTGCGGCTTGAGCAGCTGCCAGTGAAGTTTAAGGCAAAAAAATAATAAGTACCTCAGCCATCTTCATGTCCCTGGTAATCACGTCTCCCATTTCCTTCTGGGGAGGGCCCACATGTTTCCTAGTCTTCCTTTTTTCACAGACATACCTATAGAAGCTTTTTTTTGTTGCCCTTGACGTCCCTGGCCAGATTTAATTCTGTCAGGGCTTTAGCTTTCCTAACCTGATCCCTGGCTGCTTGAAAAATATCCTTGTATTCTTCCCAGGCTACCTGTCCTTGTTTCCACCCTCTCTAGGCTTCCTTTTTGTGTTTGAGTTTGTCCAGGAGCTCCTTGTTCATCCTTCAAGTACTCTTAAATTTTGGGAAACTGAACTGTTGGTACAGTTCAAAATAAATTCTTATTTAGTTAAAGGCTGTGTATGTTTTTCTTTCCCTTGAATCTTCAAGGTCATGCTGCAGAGTAATCTGGTTTAAACACTATCACATCATCAGTGCTGTATGAAACAAAGGCGGAGTGAGGCATTACTTTGTGTTAAGAAACTGGAAGCTCTAACTACTTCTTACAAACCCTTGAGGCATAGTTTCAGTGGAGACTAATTAGCTCTTTTCCCCATAAGAAAGTAAAAAGGACTTAAAATTGGAATGTGTTCTGTGTGCGTCAGCCTGTTAAAATGTTACTTGTTCTGTAAGGAAAGATGCTGTCTTAACTTTCAGACCAAAGTGTTCCTGTGACATTATTAGTATTTTAATAATCTGCAGATCTAAGTGTTAATCTGTCAGACTTTCATTCAGTAATTACTTGAAAATTTTAATCTGACTTTTGAACTAAAGCTAATGTTGTTTTCCAGAGGTCTCAGTGTTGTCCCAGATGAAGAAGTCATTGCCATGTATGATGGTTCCCATGTCCCTTTAGAGCAAATGAGTGACTTTTATGGAAAGGTAAAACCACAAAGGACTCTTAATTTTTATTTTTATTTTTTTTTTGGTGGGTGGAGGTGGGGTGGTGGTGTTTGCATTTTGTTCTTATACTTACTAGCAGTTACATTTTCTCAATACATGATTGACTTACAGTGCTGGATATGAAGTTTGCCCTCTAAAGTGACAAATACCTTTTCTTTCTCCAGCTTGTAGTTTTTTCTTTCATTGTTCCCTTGCCCAGTCTTACAGACAGAAGCGGAACATAGAAAAATCAAGTGACTTGCTCAGTGTGGCACAGCAAATCTGATAAAGGCTGGGAAGTGAACCATATCTGGTGCTGTGTACTTCTTCCTGGTGGTCTAATGGCTTAGCTGATGTAGCAGCAAGTAAATGTTTGGAGACATCTCTTGCATACAAGCTGCCATAGTGACAGTAAGATTTGACAAAAGATGAATGATAAAAGATAAAGCTTTTAAGTTTAGCATTTTACTTAGGGGAAAAATTGATCCTGCTGGTGGCTTCCTTCCTCTTCCCCAGGTGAAGAACAGTGCTGTCTTTTTAGTAAAAACCAAGTTTATTTTACCCCTTTTACTTACGAATATTGGTTTCACGTTGATGTGAAAGGCCTTTCTTTGTGCTGTGGAACGTTTTGTTGTTCTCATGCTTGTTCTTATTTTAAAGAGCTGAACTTAGAATTCTCAAATCTGGTCTCTGCAACAGTTCTGAATATCAGCCTGGCATTCCCTGTGAGATGCCTTGGTCTCTACAGGTCTATGCTTTCTTTGATCTTGGAAAGGAGAGTGACAGGACAAGAGGCTGTGGGCACAAACTGAAACACAGGTGGTTTCCTTTCAACATCAGGAAACACTTCCTTTACTGTGAGGGTGACCAAGCACTAGCACAGGTTGGTTGCCCAGGGAAATGGTGAAGTCTCCATCCTTGAAGGTATTCAAACATCATCTGGACAAGATCCTGGGCAGCTGGTTCTAGGTGAATATGCTTGAGCAGGGGGATTGGACAAGATGACCTCCAGAGGTTCCTTTCAACCTCAGCCATTCTGTGATCTTGACCAGGGTGCTGTCTCAAGCTGGTTGCTTTACCTCTGTTCTTCTTGAGAAGGATTTGTTTTGTGTTTGCTGTTGTATAATGAGATTATCTACTTTTGTGAAACTTACCTATAGTTGCAACTTCCAGAGACTAGAAATCTTTTCCTCTGTTCCTGCATTAGTTATTGTAGATTCCTACAGCTTTTCATTATCTCTTTTCAAGTAGGTAAATTGTTTTGCAGTCCTAATCAGTATTCCACTTATTAAAGAAAAAAAACAACAACAACAAACCACCCCAAAACCTCCATCCACCATCACAATACCCAGTGCCTCTTATTTAGTGAAGACTTCCAGTGAAGGCCTCTAAGTTCTTCTCTTGACTTTTAGCTGAGCACTTTCTTTTATGTTTTTATTAATTAAAATACTGCTCTTAAGAGTAATGAGTCATGATTAATTCTTAAAATAAAACCAATGCTTTTGTTGGAGTTATTTTACTGAAAGTCCGTTAGTTCAGGTAGAATCTAAAGCAATCTGAACAATGATGGCAAAAAAAATCTTCAACTAAGTTGAACTGTTTATACTGAGTGAATGAAACTGTTCTAATCTGAGAAATGCCTGACCTCTTTTTCATCTTTTTTTCTTTCTGCCCCTGTAGAGCTCACAAGGAAATACAATGAAGCAATTCATGGATATATTTTCATTGCCAGAAATGACACTCCTTTCTTGTGTGAATGAATATTTTCTGAAAAACAACATAGACTATGAGCCTGTTCATCTGTACAAAGATGTCAAGGTATTAACTTTGAAGATTTGGGCAAACCTCTGTATTTGTGTGTCTTCTCTGTGAGCTCTTCAGGAAGCTTCACCCTGTTGTGTCAGCTCCAGTGAAATACCTCAACTTTAGGTTTTGTATAGAGTGATTATTTTGATGCAACTGTAAAAACATAAGTAAAATGAAGGTAGACCTTGGAAAAGAAACACAGAATAATTTGAAAATTTGTTTTAGATCTGATGTTATAAGGCTGTTGCTTTCTGTAGGTTTGAAGGGTGAATGGGGAAAAAGTGAAGGAGCTCTTGTACATCAATAAAGCTTCTTTTGATTGTTATTAAAGGTATACTTTTCTCAGTAGCAATTGTAAGAGGCTATAGGGAATTCCTTTTTTGGAGCATTCAGTTGTACAGCCTCTATATCTTTGCTAGTATACAATCATTTGCTGTCTCTTGCTTTTGATGTATTTATTTTGCCTGTTTTCCTCTCTTCTGCCTCCAGAAAAATCTAGTAATAATGAACAGAGTAACTTGACCCTCTTGATTCCTCAGAATATATCCTGCAGAGGAGATAAAATTATGTCATGGTTATTTAAGAACAGAAGATGTCATGCCCAAGTTGATGGTATTTGTCTGCTCAAGCTTTCAATCCAAAACCTTTTCCTGGCCCCTTGTTGACACGTATTGAGCTTGTGTAGTTGTTCAGTATATGTTGAATATCTCATTTTCCCAAGGAGATCGGGTTTTAAGAAACTTCTGCCCTCCAGAGTAATTTTCCCTTCTGCCTATGGTTACATAGAGTCAGAAGGCTAGTTCTTGTGGTTTCTGCTGAAGTGTTTGTAGAAACTTCTGTACTGCTTATTACCACTAACGTTTTGGAAACCCTATAGTGGCATTTTTTAGAACATACTCCATATAAGTACTAAATTGGCAGTACTACTGTCCTAAACAAAGCAGTCTGGTGCAGAGCTGGCTCAGGAGAGCTGCCAAATGCTTTCAGAGCACCTTATGGGTACTTTGCTTAAGCCTTTAGATTCTTTCATCTGTTCATAAATTTATTTCTTAAATAACCAGGGCATTTGTGAGTGATCATAATCTAAAATCTACCCAACTTTTTTTTTTTTTTTTTTTTTCCCTCCAAGAGGAAAAGATTGTGTTCTGCTCCAAAGGTCATTAGAAGTCTGTGATGTCTCTGCTTCTGCAGAAGGCTTTCACCCCACTTCACCCTTCTAAGCAGCCTTTCACAGTTACGTAAAACAGCCCCTGTGCTATACAGTTTTGCGCTTCCTAGATGTATGAAGTTAGTTTCTTAGAGGACAGGCTTACTCTTTGTCTAGTGGTGACATATACATAATGAACACCACGTGGCATTTCTGTAAAGTTGAAAGTGTACTTCAAAGAAAGTAATTGTTTTAAAAACAAGTTACTACTGCTGTGCAGTGAGCACAGTTTTTATAGTTGAGAAGATTTTTCAGTTCTTTAGTGCCCTTTTGCTTTCCTAACAGGATTCAATCAGGGATGTTCACATCAAAGGAATAATGTACAGAGCAATTGAAGCAGATATTGGTAAGTACTAATGAGATCATCTATCAAAGATTTTTTCACTAATAGTATAATGATCTTTCTGGCTTTCTTATTTAAGATTACAAAGTCTAAATTTTAAATCTTGAAAGTTACTCCCACTTGTCTAAGGTGCCTTTGTTAAGGATAGCCTAATGTTCTGAGCCCTCAGTTGAATGCAGAGAAAATTCTTGTGAAAAACTTTTTCAATTAATATTGTCTTTTCCCCAATCCTCACAGAGAAATACATCTGCTACGCTGAACAAACTCGTGCGGTGTTAGCAAAGCTGGCTGATCACGGCAAGAAGATGTTTCTCATCACAAATAGTCCCAGCAGCTTCGTGTAAGGGAACAATTGTTTGGTGTTCAACTATACATTTTTAAAGGATAGGGAGGATGAGGTTCTCTAATGTAATTTGTTACATTGCACAGATAACTGCACTTCTGTTACTCTTCACTGTTAATATCTCCCTGTCCTTTTTAGGGACAAAGGCATGAAGTTCATAGTTGGCAAGGACTGGAGGGATCTCTTTGATGTGGTCATTGTACAGGCTGATAAGCCAAATTTTTTCAATGATAAGCGAAGGTGGGTATTTAGTCCGTAAAGAATGATTCAAGTGGCTTGTTCCATATAAGGCTATAGAGCGTGTTATGAAATATTTTAATTTGGATGTAATGTAAAATGAAATAATATTTGATGAAATCCTGTTTAAGGCCATTACAGAATGCTGCAACACTCAATTCTGAAGTCCAGATATTTACCATTTTTACCTAAGAAAGCTCAAGTAGCCAATACAGGTCTAGTGGGCTGAGTTAGCATCACACAAGCTGCTTTTAACACCTTAGCTTGTAAGTTGAAGTATGTTCCTTGCCTAATAAACCTGAGAAATTTTGTTGCCTTTCAGAATCGGCTCCTTGTCATGAAATGTCTTTTATTGCTTCTGGTTTTGTTTAGTCATGCACGATATTTAAAGGGCAGACTGACTGACAGACCGGAGTATTTGGACTAGTTGTTCAATTACGTAAACACATTTGTAATGTGCATGCACTACTCTTACAATTGAAAAAGACCTATTCCTTTTTATGTACTTATGCTTTGAAAGTGAGATAGAGGGAGGTAGGATTTTTTTTCATTTAATTTTAAAAAGAACTTTGCTGTATGTCTTGCCCCCAGTCCTCTGCCTCCTTCTTCTTCAGTTGTACAAAATGAGGTATTGGGCAAGATTTTTACACATCTTGACTTCTTTTGTGTTCTTTTCTCTCCTTTTTAATGGCAGACAATTCATAGTGTTTCTTCCCCCCTGTCTGAATCCCTGCCTTAGTTCTCAACAGTTGTTCTCAAAGTCCAGAGTTTTGAAGCTTTGCTTTTTCTGTCTGTTACAAAATGTTTAGTTGCTCGAGAGTATGTTTTCTTTTGAAAGATAAATATTTTAAATATTAAAATTTTAATCTGCTCCTAGAAAGTGGCAGAATTTCTACAGCAATGTAACAATTGTATGTAATTCTATTCCAGACCATTTCGGAAGGTGAATGAAAGGGGAGTGTTGCTCTGGGACAAAATTCACAAGCTTCAGAAAGGTCAGATTTATAAACAGGTATGCTTTCAGTAAACTCAGTTCAAATTTATTACCTGTTTCCTAAACTCCCAAGATTCTTTAGATATAATAAAAGCTGCTAAAAAGTAGATATGTTTTTTAAGAGAGTGGAGTCAGTATTGGGACCGGTGCTGTTCA